GGGGGGTTTCCAGGCGATCCTGTCCCCACCTCCCATCTCACCGTAGGAGTGCTGGGACTGAACTTCGGTGGCCAGACGTTCATGTCGCTTGTCCCCGCTGAGCCATCTCTCCGGCCCTCTGTATTTTGAGACGGGGTTTATTACTGGCTCATCAGCTAAGTTAGGCTGGCTGGCCAGCAAGCCCCAGAGATATCCCCACCTCTCCTGCCCAGCACTAGAATTAAATGTGCACTACCCACCTGGGTTGTTTTTATGGGTGAAAGGATCGAACCCGGATCCTCATGCTTCCACAGACAACACCGACTGAGCCTCTTCTCCAGCCCCGAAAGTGATTTCATTTTTTGTTTTTGTTTTTGTTTTTTGAGACAAGGTTTCTCTGTGTAACAGCCCTGGCTGTCCTGGAACTCTCTCTGTAGACCAGGCTGGCCTTGAATTCACAAGAGATCTTCCTGTCTCTGCCTCCCAAGTGCTGCGATTAAAGTCGTGCAACACCATGGCCCAGCCCAAAAGTGACTCTTAAGTAGTTCTCTTTCTATCTTTCTCTCTGTCTCTACCTATCCCTCCCTCTTTCTCCCTCTCTGATACACACACACACACACACACACACACACACACACACACACACACATACACATGCACACACACACACACTTGCATATATGTAGATTCTCTGGTATGCTCTCTATATCAGCATATATATATATATATATATATTATATACATACATACTCACACACATACATTTAAGTGCTCATGAATATTCATTCACACCCTCAAGGGTTCACAGCACATAAAGAAAGCACTGGGCAGATGCAGCCAAATGCCAGTGGCAGTGAGCCACGTGTGCCCAGCGTACATTCCATCACTTTTCTGTAGGCTTCAACTTTTTTTTTTCGAAATTAAATTTGTAGGAAGAAAAAAACCCTGAACTCCATAGTCCTACACCAGGGCAAACTGGACTCCTGCGTCTTACCGGGCCATTCACGGGGCTGTAATTTCTGAGCTGTCAAAACGTCCCCGTGAAGACTGGGGCAATGACTCAGTGGGTAAAATACTTGCTGCACAAGCTCGACAACCTGAGTCTCATCCCCCAGAACCCGCAGTTTAAAAAGCTGAGCACTGGGCTGGCAAGGTGACTTGCCACACAAGCCGGACAGCCTGAGTGAGATCCCCAGAACCCACAGTGGAAAGAGCAAACCAAATCCTAGCCGCTGTCCACACTCAAACACACATCACACATGCACACACGGTAGTAAAACGTACTTCACCCTTTGTTTCTTGAGGAGTCCATTCATGAGCACTGTGTTTCCACCACTGCTGCCTCTCCCTTCCCCAACTCCTCCTCTTAAACCCATGACCTCTTCTTCTTCTTCGTTATTGTTGTACATGTGAGCTGCTGAGTCCATTTCCTGCTCATATGTGTAGGTGTTTAGGGCTGAGTACCTGGGACTAGATAACTTCTCAGGGGGTGCCTCCCTGTGAAGACAGATCCTCCACCAGGACCCGTTAATCGCTTGTAACTCTTCATCTAGGGCTGGGGCTGTCAGGATTCTGTACATGCGCAGCTCGGGGTCCCGTGCCTTACGTCTTACATCATCAGCAGGCACTGACGCAATCCCGGCTTCAGACCCCCACTCTCTCTCTCTGTTTTCTCTCTGCTCTTCTTCACTCTCTCCCCCATCTTTCTCTCTCACCAGGCCTGGTCCCCTTACCCACACCCATTTTCCCTCCTAATAAAGCTCTAAAAACTCACATTGGGTTCTGCTGTGGCCCGTGACTTATCCGCGGGTAACCAGCACCACTAACCAGCGCCATATACCCATCAGGGGCCCCATGGGAGCTCCTCTTTCCACAATGACCTATCAACCGGTGCTTTGTACAGGTCTTTCTCTAGGTGACCACACTGCTAATATTTCATGGTAGCTCCTATGGTAGACATGGTAGACACTATCTCCAAGCCTATGTATGGGTTCTCTCCCCTCGTCCCTCTTCGAGGATGCTCCCTGAGCCTTCAGTAAAGGGGTGGTGTTGTAGATGTTGGGTACCACATGGCCACTTGTTCTCTCCATTTTTACCACTGGTGGATTTCTGTAATGTTCTCTGTCTGCGACTAAAAGAAGAGTCTCTGATGATGGGTGAGAGCTACACTGATCTGAGGGTATAAGGATAATACTTAAACCGCAGTTAGAAATAAATAAATTGGCAATGATGGTAGGTGCTTGTAATCCCAGATCT